ATATACAGAGATACAAAAACAAAAGATGTATTATAATAAAACAAAAGTTAAAGTCAATATATTTATTTTACAAAAGACATTATTAACATTCAACTAACGAATCTTCCTTCGAAAACAAATACAACCTTTTCTAAAATAGACATCACAGATAAAATATAGACATAAAATAGTTTGCCACTAAATATTTGAACTTTAGAAGACGCTTGTACGTGAACTGCTAGTAGAGTGTAAATTGTGATATTTCATGTAATATTAAAGTGATTCAAAATGATACATTTACTTTTTCTTATAAAGTAATAGGATATTAGAATTGTATTAACATACATTGCGTAATATCTTTAATCATATTATTATATATATTAACATAATTTTTACACTTTTCATATTAATCACACCAAATAAAATGCGTTTTAATTATTTATTTATTGTTAAATCCAAAAATGTATGCCACAATACACATTATAATAATGGTTTGTATTTATCATACATATGTTTCTCGGTTAAGACTGTTTTAAATCATATTTTTAAACAATACTCATATCACTAGCTAACTAAAAATATTCAACAGAAGCTCTTCCCACTAACTAGTGTATAGGTTAAATAGAGCCAAAAAGGAATGGATATTTAACAGTTTAAATTAAATATAATATAAATAATGACGAAAGTTATTTGACATAATACATGTCTTTTACAGAAATATAATATTTGTTATAAAAAAATATTCTTCACAAAACAAAAACCATAAAACCACTAAATATTTAAAACATAAATTAACATAATAAAAACGATGCACTTCAAAAACTTTGATATAACATATGGATATGTACAATTTATATAATATAATACATTTATAAATACTAATAATACAATACATTTATAATACGAATAAATAAAGACACGACGAAAGCTTAACACTTTATCAATATTAACTCACTATATTCTATTTATGAATACAACATATACAACATATGAAATGATTATTTACAATCGCGTTATTATAAAAAATAGGTAAAAACATAATTGTAAAACAAAAAAAACCGTAAAAGTGCAAAAATAAGATATTTTGAATTTTTATGTTTGTTCAAATATATATATATATATATACAATATGGACTATAGCTGTTATATAGTTCATGGATATTTCGTTATTGACATTATTCTGAAATAAACGCTAACTAAATATTATCTAAACATCTTATAATTAGTTTATTTATTTTCAACGCTTGAGTGTTTCTATAAAACATTAATGTAAATATCAAGGTCAATTTTTCCAATCGATACCTCTAGTACATTAACTTAGTACCTTTGAAAGAGTCCCATTTTTTCTTTTTACATGTGAGGGAAACTACGGCCTCCTCTCAATACGAAGGGGATCAGGTCCCGTAGTCCACCACGCTGGCCAAGTGCGGGTTGGCGGCCTTCACATGTCTTTTGAAAACTTGCTAGGTTCTCTCAGACATGCAGGTTTCTTCACGATGTTTTCCTTCACCGTAAGACAAGTGGTAATCATGTTGGAAATGATTCGCATATAAAAATATACAAGTGCTAGACCTGGGATTTGAACCAATCAATCAAACCAAATTCCCAAGTGTGTTGAGTTGTTATGTCAGCGTTTTATACAAGTGTTGAAGACATTCAAAACGAATATATCTTTGAATTTGTTTCATACTAGTTACTTGTATAAGGCTAATATAGCATTTGCTCAAATAATTAACACTTAAACTTATTAATACCTCAACGACCGCGGACACGCCGGCGTTACAGTTAACAATAGATTTCTTAGAAATTTAATTAATTTCTTGATCGAAGGCATTAACACTAACACGGATTTATGTGGTATTAAAACCGCTCCATCTAGTGTCAAAAAGAGGCAACACAATTTTTGAGTGCTAATTATTATTAATTCTCATTTTCGAACATTCACATCTTCTAGCACTCGAAGGTTAGGGATAGCTTAAATTGGCTACTTCCAAAATTTTGTAATTGCGAGTTTCAAATTTTAACAATTCGATAAGCACATTCGAATAAAAAAAAACACCAACGAAATCGACGAAACATCGCAGACTTCTTTCTCATAGCGAAAATGGTGTGACAATTTCAATGAAAAAAATACAATATAAAATTACGGCAGGACTTTGTCCCAATAATACTTTCTTAGATTTACGGAAATATTTGACATTTTAAATAAAACTATCTTTTTGGATTTTTTCGAGGATTACATTAAATTTTTGGTTTCTGACATTTCAAATGCTTTACAGCAATCATTGTCACGGAGAGACTAAGGTTTTAGACATCTCAAAGGTTATTATATAATTATTGAAGACTGTGCCTACGCACAATTTAAAAAAAATATATTATTTTATTGCTATAGTGTGCATTCGAAACAACCAACCACCAAAAATCTTAAAAGGCGAAAAAATCCGTAAAGATAGTTTAATTTAAAACGACTTTATCCAAGTTTATCTTTTACTTTTCCAAGTTACAATAATATTTGTTTTAATTAAAGACGAATAGACAATAAAAAAATAACACTTTACTAAGCCGGTGCACTTAACCTACACTTATATACATTTATACCACAGATGCATTATGTACAGTGAACACAAATATTTATTATTTTCATATTATATTGTAATGTAATACGACAATTTATTTCTAATTTTAAATTATTATCTTTCGAGGTCTTCTCCTTAACATCAAATTGGCCTAGTGTATTTTTATATATGACAATAATAATTTTATGACACATCATCTATTGTATTGGCGGTGAGCAGATTTCCTAACGGCAAGTTTCAGAACTAACTTTGACCGATAATCATCTGTTAATAATCATCTGTTGTTGTTGTAATTATAATAAAAACATTTTTTTTTGTTTTTGTTTGTCTGTCTGTTATTCCGGATAATCTCCAAAACGGCTGGATTGATTTTGACGAGACTATCACTGGCAGCTAGCTGATATTATGAAGAATAGCTTGGGATACTTTTATATTAGAAAAAAAATAGGGTGTCGCTCAAAAAATTAAAACGTACCTAGCAAAGCGAGGGTAAGTCAATAGTTTAATCTATGCCTTTGTTTATTAAAGTATAGTTTTAAAGTAATCAGAGACAATAAAATAATTATAACTATCATAGCGACTCACCCTCGCTCCGATAGGGTTCGTCCTTAATGAAAATTTAAGTTTATATGTATTTTTAATGCCGAATCATAAAAAAAAATATAAAAAATAAATGTCAAAAAAATTAAAAAATAAATTTTGGAGTGGACCACCCTGATCATTTAGGGGCATGAAAAATAGTTTACGTCCTATTCTCAGACCTACTGAATATACACACAAAACTTCATAAGAATCGGTCAAGCCGTTTCCGAGGAGTTTTGTTACAAATACTGTGACACTAGAATTTTATATGTTAGAGAAGATATACTGCTGTCATTAATTCCAAAAAACCCATACGAAATCCTAATCACCACCAATAAATTTGCGTATCGACACATGTAATAAATATTTACTGTAACATTAAACAGATACTTATGGATTTAAATTCTGTGAGGTGAATAAATTATATTCGATATAGAATGTTAGTTTTCAAATATATCATGCTAATTGTATATATATACATATAAATTTACGTATATTATAGAAAAATAAAGGAAAAAGGCAATATTAGTTGATAGGTAACGGAAAAAAGTGACATATTATGTATAACAACACGCGCGTATTCGAATACAACGGTGTGTTTAAGCAATCGGTGAACAGCTTTCAGCGGTTTAAGATTATAAACTAATATATATTTACATTTTTAATTATATAGCTAGAAAAAATAAAAATAAAATTTTTGTCATAGTTATAAAAAAATGGCATTCAAACTATAAAAGTATACAACTTTTGTGATATTTTTACAAAAATAAATAATTTTTCAGAAAACATCGAATGATTATAATCGATTTAACAAAATAATAAATAATATCGATACCAAAATACAACGCAAAAATCATACAACAGTTCAGATTCCATTCGATATGGTATCGATATACCTATCGCTTATGAGAACACTCGGATTGACATTTTATTTACGTATAAAGTTTATGAATTTAATCATACACACAATATTTCATAGAAACATTAAAATAATACTGATAATGTTAGAACATTGAGCAAACTACTTTTTTTACAAAATCGAACGGCGAATACTGTATTTCGAATCTTATTTCTATGAATATTTTTACAAAGTAATTTTTATATAATTTTGATTTATGTGACATTTTATGAATGGATTTGATTAGTGGTCCTCGAATATTATGGAAATGATTTGGGGCAAACTTTCAATCGAGAGGCCATTTTTTGTATTGTCTCAATATTATTTAATTGGATGATAAATATGTATTTTTTTTTCAAAAAGGTATTAAATAAATGATAATTAAATAAATTAAATGCTTTTATATAAAAAACGCAAAGTTCAAAAATAAATAAAATAACAGAAAAATAGATAAAAACTCGTATCAAAACGAATAAATACAAGTAAAAATATAGGTACTCACTTTACGCTATATAATATTTTCTAATGCATATGTAAAATTTAATAAAAATTATATATTTAGTAAAAAAATATTACAAGTTCACACAGTGATCGAATTTGATAATTTTTAAACATAATGAGAAATTTATTTTTATTTAAAAAAGAAGTTCCATTCTGAACGCCTGTGAAATTCTCAAGACCGTTTAATTAGTTAATTAGTGCAATACTTCTACACCAATATGGTTTTTATTTTTGCAACCAATAATAGAGTTTAAAATGTATAGCCTTCTCTCTAGTCTCTAGTAATGTCTACAACATCAAAGGTACAATACCACTGTTCGGTAAAAAAATTACATTGTTCTGTGAATATGAATGGAAAAAATCTAATTCCGTACCACATACTGAAAGGTGTACAAAACCCCAGTATTTACTTAATTCATATAAAAAAAAAAACAATTTCGATCACTTGCATTCGTGTAAGTTTAGGCAGACTGACAGATTCTAGCGATTTGTTCCTTTTCGGCGGTGACGCGCGCCATCAGGTCCTCGGCCCAGCGGTGAGCGGTGCGGTCCACGGTCGAAGGCACCGTCAGACATTGCATCCCGCCGTACTCACATGCAATCTGGAATGAAAATGGAAATTATTTAATTAGACTTATACTTATACAAGCACTACTAAATTGTATTCTGCCCATTTTTTAACATCCCACTCCTGAGCACGGGCCTCCCTTCAGTACGAAGGGGATCAGGCCATAGTCCACCACGCCGGCCAAGTGCGGGTTGGCGGACTTCACATGTCTTTTTGAAAACTTGCTAGGTTCTCTCAGACATGCAGGTTTCCTCACGATGTTTTCCTTCACCGTTAAGACAAGTGGTAATTATGTTAGAAATGATTCGCACATGAAAATATCAGAGGTGCGAACCCGGAATTTGAACCCGCTTCAATCGGTCTCCCAAGCGAGCGCGTTACCACTGGGCTACCACTGCCTCACTATTAAATTATTGTCAATTAATTTAAAGAGAATCTAAATCTTAAAGATAATATAAGTGTAATCGGTCCGTAAGGAAGCTAACACCAGTGAAAAGAGGTTTTGCTGAGAATAATAATTGTGTCCATTATTTGATACTATTGACTTACCCTCGCTTCGCTCGGGTTTTCCTCTAGAATGAAAACAAACCTTACCCACGGGAACTTTTGCTAGACCTATATGCTATTCAAGACTATAATCTATCTCTGTGCCAAATTTCATCCAGATCCGTTCAGCCGTTCTGGTTGATTGATTCTGGTGATTGAGCAAGACACATCCAAACATCCATCTAAACTTTCACATTTATACTAGTGTTCTATAAATATACTTATAGTTAGACTAACCTGGTCTCTTAACTATTAAGTGTGGTTTTTCTTGGTGTTATTGGACTATCAATGGGAGGTATTCAACATACTTCGAAAGCTAAATAGTGTTTTATGTTAATTATAAATTACCTACAATAAAAAAATCGCCAAATAGCAAGCCATTTTTCTGATATTTTACCAAAATAGTGTTCCTTTTAAAAAATAACAAACAGATAAGTAACCATCTATTATATTTACAAAAAATATCAAAATAAATATAATAATAGGTTTATTCGTGTATATTAAAAATTAACATGGATACACGAACATTGTATGTGCGTGATCATACATTAAATTATTTTCATGATAAACATCATTTATCAGGATGTTCCATCTAAATGTATTTCGATTGCACGACAACAAACAAATGTCTATACATTGTCATTATTATCGAGAAAACCAATTTATTTAATTATTTTATACTTTGCTACTAAAACATTCATTTTCTTTTTTTACTAAACTATATTAGTTTTAAATATCTCCTAGGATAGATTGATTGATTGATTGATAGCATATCAATCTAGTTTTTATTATCTATACTACATATATTATAATAATCTATACCTACTAATATTATAAAGAGGTAGTTTGTGAGTTTGCGAGTTTGTGGGGTAATTTCTGGATCTACTGAACCGATTAAGATGAAATTTCGTAAGAAGATAGTTTGTGACCCTGGAAAGGACATAGGATACTTTTTATCCCGGAAATCATCCCTTAAGGGAGTAAAAATGGGGATTAAAGTGTGTATGGGGAATCGAACTAGGGACGAACCCGAGCGAAGCGAGGGTGAGTCGCTAGTAATTAAATAAATAAGAAAATGTGATTTTTTCCTACGAGGTAATTATTTTTTACCCAATTAAATCAATTGGATAGATTAAATAGTTCGTTAAATAAATTAATAACTTATTAATATTTAATAAAAACTGGCATACCGACATAAAAATCACTTAAAATAATTATTCCATACTTAGTGGCAGAAATTTTTTTATGATATTTATTGAGGCCTTAAGACACCTTTAAAACCATTAATTAAAAAAATATCGAAGATATTGCGAAACATACTCACAAAAAACAGAGTAATTATTATCTCCTTATTTTTAGAGTAGGTCAAAAATGACACTAGTATAAAATAAATTTATGAATAATGCAATAATTACCATTACTTACCCAGATAGAACAAGGTCTAATATATATATATATATATATATATATATATATATATATATATATATATATATATATATATATATATATATATATATATATAGATATATATATATATATATATATATATAGAAGGCTATAGGCTCATACATCATATAATATACCATCTATTTCCATACTACCGTTAAACTATACTAATACGGACGAACTCGAACGAAGCGAGAGTGAGCCGCTAGTACATTATAAGAACATTGGTGGGCATTTAGTTCTTCAGTATACGTACTAAAAACGTCTTACTGTCTTACAAAGGTCTATGGCGACGTCGCTTTTATGTTTAATATACGTCATGGTTCTATCTGGGTAGAAATATACCCGAAATATTAATAAAACAAAACTCACTCTATAATGATGTAGCAGTGCCCTGTCAGTGGGAACGCCGACAGAAGTGGCGCCGGGCGCGAGCTCCCATACAAAATGGTTGCCCAGTTCCACCGCGTCGCGGGGTCTGAGCGCGTACTTGCTTCTGTTCTTGAGCGCGTGCGGCGCGGCCCAGCGGCGGGTTTTGCGTGAAGTCACCAATGGCGCTGGAGCTTCCGTGTCATCCTGAAATTATATTTAAATATTATGTATTTTTAATAAAAATTAAATTTATTATGTGTATTAAAAATAACCTATTTAAATTATTTAAATATATCATTTTTTTTCTTTTTGATTTTAAATATTATATATATTCAATATAAATGTATGAATTTAATACCAGTTACATAATTACTTTAAAACTGAAAGACCACACTGACTTCATAATATAGATAGAGTATGGGTATCTGGTGGGTAAACCAATTAAATAAAAAAGATAATCATAAAAATTCGTTTACAATGCGAAGACATTACCCAATATAAATACAAAAGAAACTTACAGCTGAATTGAGAACTTGCTTCTTTTTAAAGTCGGTCAAATATGCGAGTACCTATGATACTACTTTCATTATAGTATGATGCGTGTGACACTTATCAGTGCCATATGAATTACGAACAGATAACATTTAATCAATTTTCTCGATAAAGATTTTCAGAGTCAAATCTCAAAGAAAAGATATTTTAAAATATCATTAAAAGCAAACTCATATTTTACTATTTATTAAACAAAAACATTTAAACATTGTAATTTTAATCACAGGAACAATAAAAAGGGAAAAGGAACGGTTTAACAAATATTACCCCCATTATATTAATCCCTCAACGACCGCGGACACGCCGGCGTTACAGTTAACAATAGATTTCTCAGAAATTTAATTAATTTGTTTAAAATTTATCTGGAGGTGATGGTCTAGCAAGCACAGACGAAATATAAAACTCAAACGCTGACGGAGACGCAGGCTAATTAATTTTATCAATATATCTCGTAGTTTATTTCATATGCTTCGCTTCTATGTATCGCAGCGTGATGTTAGATTACATTTTATAGCCTTCTTTTTGGGGACGGTTACTATAGATTAGCTAGCAACAAACCACGGCCTTTAAGAGTGAAGCAATCATTCATAAACAAATGAATACTAATTAAGCAGACAGAGCCACATGTATTTAGTAGGCTATAAAATGCGAATAGACTTTTTTTAATCTCAGTAGTTTCAGCTGAAAATTGACGTGTTTAATTAAACCAGCAAAAAAACTTCAGCTTTTTTATGTATAAGTAGAGTTAAATTATAAGTACAGTAAAAGGTATAAGGTAATTATTTTAGAAGGATATAATTTTAGTTAGAAATTAGAAGTTATTCATAAGCCCATTTATAAAAAGACAAAAAGAAATACAATTCAATGGTGGCTACCATGAAACAAAAATCTATGTTAAAACAAACTTACCTCCCACCGCAGATAAAAGAAGGCGTTCCTAAACAAAAACGTGGACGGCGCCTTCGAGGGTGGGTTGTACGATGCTCTCAACGCGGTGAGTAGCGCTGTGAGCGTCCTCTCGCGTCGTGGCAGAATCACTTCATCCACATCTATTACTAGCAACCAGCCAGCTGTCGACATCGATCTATATAGACAGTCGTTAAACGCTGCGAATTGGCCCTCAGTCCTGAAAAAATATGGTTAATATATTTTTGACTGCCTCGTTGTTTTAAGAGTAGAAACTAGTATGTACATTGTATAACTGCAGATCTAGAGGTCTTAGATTCAATTCCCAGGTTGGACCTACGAGTAAATAGCTACTGGGTTCTTCTCTCACGAAATACTCCTTAGCAGTCCGGAGTTGAGAGGTTAGCTGTGTTTACATCACCGTGCCTCGGAGAACACGTTACGGTAAAGATAAATAAAATTAGTATCGCAATCATATCAGTTACGTGTATTGTACATATATAAGTGGAATATGCGCATCACGAGTTTTTACCACTACAAAGTGTTTTTGTTACGTTTTTACCAGTAAAATATTATTTTATGACTTTATATTGAACATAGGTTAAAATCCCTTGTGAAAACTCAACTCACAATTACTACTTTCGATCATAGAATATTATTTTACTTTAGAGTTAGCGCTACAATCACAAGTTTGAGTTATAACTTCACCAAGTTTGATGTTTTTAAGACACCATAAATATTTTATAAGGAACCCTAAAAATACGTTACATGTTTGTGGAAACCCCATGAATGTTTATGATTTATTCTTTACTAGTGACTCACCCTGGCTTAGCTCAGGTTCGTCCCTACGTACGTTTTGACGATTAGTATAGAAAAGACTTTTTTTTTTAATTTTTACAGATTTTTTTCTGATGTTTTAATAGTTATTCTGCTATTCGGGGTGAAGCCAAATCCAACAAAACAAAGATCATAAAAATCGGTCCAGCAGTTCTCGAGTTATAAGTGTTGTTACAAACCCGACTTTGTTTTATACATACATATAGGTATATGTAGTTTAGAGTATTTGCAGTTATAAACCATATTCTATACAATTATAAGTTCTTTAAACGGATAGAGTTGTAACGTAGTATAGTAGCCGGTTATCTATTATATATAATAAAAAATATAACAAAATAAATAAATAAAACATTAAACAAAATTGTCCTCAGTCATATAATGCTTTAAAAACTTAATGCTACGTTATATTTAGTACTTATTTATATTTGAATAATAAAAGTTCTACGTGCTACGTGCTGCTACGAACCTACGAAGATTGCTGCGAATTAACTCAGAAAACGACCGTGTAAAAATTTACCGCGATACAATTTGAAATACCAAAGCAGAATTATAGTTAATATAAAGAAAATGAAATCTCAGTTTTGGAAATATAATTATTACAACTACCTTGATGGAACTTAACACTACCCGTGTTGGAATTATACCATGAATAATCTATACTAATATTATAAATGTGAAAATGTGTTTGTCTGTCTTTTACGTCGAAAAAGAGTGAGGGATAGATGTGCTTTTTTGTGTGAAGATAGTTGGAGGGCTGGAGAGTGACATAAGCTACTATTTACTGCGAGAGGTTTTCTCATTCCCACGGCAAAACACGTTATAATACAATCCAAAAAAAAATAATTATGATCAAAATAACTTGAAACTTCGTATTAATGCTCTTCAATAAAATTAAATAAATACGTGTTTTAGCATTTTTCAAAATTCATCCTATAAGGGGGCAAAATAGGGGACGTAAGTTTGTATGAAACCTACCTTTTTAGAGATTTTTTTATAGTTTTAGCACGAGCGAAGCCGCGGGCTCTGCTAGTAATTTATTAATTTGATGAAAAATATACACCTATTATATAATATAATTATATTATATAATAGGCGATACGGCCGAATGGACCATCCAAATATCTAAAATATTTACATATATGAAACCAAAATCCAGGTTTCAACAAATTACAAGGTTTGTCAGTAACCCACTTTCATATTTTATTATCCCATTGAAATACTAGGCAATCGACACAGTTATGGTAAGAAAATATTATAATCTAACCTTTTTTTTTTAACGTTGGGAAATGCATTTACGCACGAGGTGTGGGACTCACCGGCGTAATAAAGCCAGTACTACCCACTAAAACCCAACAAAACCTTCCCCCGTCTTAATAAGGCGTCACAGGATCGCTTACGCATTCAACTACGACGCCCCGACGACAGGTCTGCCGAAGCAGACCACCACAACCATGGAGTTACTCCAAGGTCCACTCTGCTATCAGAGAAGTACCAGGAGCAACCCGCATGGTACACCGCCCACCAAACAGGGCCACCTCCCACCACCCACCGAAGTGGGCCACCTTCCTGTGCGTTTCTTGGCTTCGCGCCCGGTTGGATTGCCGGGCACTACTGAGCCCCCCCCCCACCACGACAAGGTGAACGCACGTTGGGGGGATTATAATCTAACCTAACCTAACAGATTCTAATGTAAATAAAGAGACAAAAATCTATTTATCGCTATTCTAAAATAAGTTGCTATAATTAATAAAATCTCACCTTATCTCCACTTTCGACACAATAGGCAGTTTCCACGGCAGCAGAGTAACGAGACCTTGTTGTTTATAGTGGTCCAGCAAACACGCCACTTGATGGCTGAGCGATTCGTTATACATGTAGAAATGGCTCGCACCTAATAGGCGATTTAGTTCGAACCATTCCACCAACCATTCATCTCTCGAATACGAAAAATGAAATGGTTTAACGCAGACGTGAAGTGTTTCCTGAAATAAAAGCGAAAATATATGAAATGAATTTAAATAGCACACTCGTATATATGAAAAATAGCTTTCAAAAAATATTTTAATGTAGGATAATTTATAAAAATGCTATAAAATACTTGCAATCACAATTTCTAATAAAAGAGTCAATTTGTTATAATATAAAACGTGTTAAAGAAATCTAATCTGTAATTTTATTATACATACATACATATATGTATACTAAATTACAAATTATTGTTACTTTCAACCATTTTCACTTTAAATCAAGTTTAAATTTAGACTCTCCAATTTTTTTTTATTTGATAAACATGTTCTTAATAAAATCCATAGCTTTGCGCTAGTTCCACCGCACGACACACTGAGGCAAAATTACCCTCTTCTAAGTATGTATCATATACGGGAATCAAACCTGCTATATTTAGCATAATAATGGCACGCTACAAATATTGATTTTTTTAGCATATATTATAAACGTGTTAATTATGACAATAATATAATAGAGAATAGCTAGAATTGTCTCACGTAAACTATACTAATATTAAAAATGCGTAAGTTTGTGAGGATGTATGGGGATGCCTGGATGTATAGATGTATGGATGTTTGTTACTCTTTCACGCAAAAACTACTGAATGGATTTTAATGAAACTTTACAATAATATAGCTCATACATCAGAATAACACATATGTTACTTTTTATCTCCGAAAAATGTACGGCTTCCGTGTGATAGATTTGTTTTTGTTTTTCTAGTAGAATAATAAACCGACCGCGTGTAACCCAGACTAGCTCATCGAGGGTACAGTGAAAAATTTTATTTCTTTATTCTTTTTTTTAATCTATTGCATAGCTTCTATCGCGGGCCTTGAGCGTGGGGACCGAATCCAGAAATTCCGTAACGAAAAAAACCTGACACCCCCCACTCCGACCGGCACAGCGGTGATACTTCCATCTATCGATAAATACCAGAACTTTTAATGACTTTTTGAAATATCACGCTTGTCTATTTAGTTCAGCAACCCGCCTTTAGGTGGCATTGGTTGTATTGGAAAACTACCGTAATCAGCTGTTTGTGAGAAAGTATATAGGTGTATAGGTATTTATCATCTATGTATAACAGTGAATATCTGTACTCGTATAATTTGTGTACAAAGTGTTTTAAACATAAATAAACAAAGTGCATTGATTAATGAAGAAAGTCACGGAAAAATAGCGAAAGAAAATGAGATAGTACTCTATATACATTCATTTTATTATTATTATCACAAATGCTGTATTATTTTTTGTTTTGTTAGTTTATATATAATACTGCTATAAAGATAACCAAAATTTTTGATATTAAAATAAGCTTGCATAAGTTGATAAAAAATGCTATGTAATAAGCTTTACCGCGGCAGTCTCCGAGTGCCACATTTAATTTACTTTTTTATTTATTAAGGCAACCTTAATAAATATACATAACCATAATAAAATCATAACAATAAAATTCTGTGCACAATATTTTATACCTATTGCGATTATGGGCTTAAATAAGGTCTCGACACGACTTACGGTGCAATTTAATATTCCAGTTTATTCAGATATGGAATACTAAATGTTAGATCAAAAGCTAAATAATCCATTAGTGAGAGTAATATAGGATCGCAATAACAGGTAAAGGTAATGCATAATAAGCTACATTTCCAGAAATTATGTAGGTATTTTGCTACCGCACAAACACACTGTATGGGTATATATATATATACTAGCGGACCCGACAGACGTTGTCCTGTCTACACGTCTTTAATTTGAAAATTTCAAACTTTTTTTAATATTTTTTTTGATGAAAATTATTATTCAAATTGTGAATCTAAACCATTCCCAGATCCCCTTGAACACACACAAAAAATTTCATCAAAATCGATCCAGTCGTTTGAGAGAAGTTCAGTGACATACACACTCACAGAAGAATTATATATATAAATATATATATATATATATATATATATATATATATATATATATATATATTACATAGAATTATGAATAGATAGTTTTATTGATATTGTAGATAATTAAAATGAAACAATGATTTTAAATAGATTTCTATAGCGAGTGCTAGCAGTTAACTAAAATATTTAGAACTAGATATGCCCCACGGCATTGGTATTTATTACTTCAATAATTTTTTGTATAGGAATAATTAAGAAGCAAATTATATTTCTTACTTCTGCTCACAGTACTTAAGTTTTCTAGCCAATAATAGTTAATCAAGTTTCAAACATTTAAACAAATCGATAAGTTTCCTTTGTATATACATTTAACAGATAATTTACAAAAAACTTTCCATCGAAACTTTCAAATTAAATTAAACGCTCTAGTTAGTTGATACAAAATATACTCACAAATAAGCCACAAAGGGGAATTTACATCGTTAATTCAATATGTAACAAATAATTTCCGTTCTATTGATGACTACAATAACGTGAACAGTTAGATGACCTCGTAACACTGACTTTACATTCAAATATAAACTGAATTACTTCCTTTATTACGAAATTAATGAATTAATCATTATAATTCAATAATTCTTATACAAAATATAATGATGATAATGTAATTAAATAAACCATAGCGACTTTTAATCGAAAAGGTTTGGTCTAAGCAAGTTTGAATTGGACCCAGTTATGCAAAAAAAACAGCCATGTGCGTAAAAGTACCAACAGATTTATAAGCATTTTATTATAATAAATAAAATAATTATAAAAAAAACAATACTTATATAAATATTGTTCAATTTTAAAATAACCAGAAAAACAATACATAACCCAAGTGCAACTATCGACAGAAAAATGCTTATAACTCTGTTGGTACTTTTACGCACATGGCTGTTTTTTGCATAACTGGGTCCAATTATGCCAGGGTAAAGTAGAAGGCGAGCGGTTACGCGGGCGATCACACATGCGTTGGACAGACCTTATAAAAACCGTAACACAAAACTCCATAGTCCAGTGCTCCCGAGACGTTGAAGACTAAGTACAATTAGCTAAAGAAAACTCATCGTCAACCACGACCACTCTGCCAAGAGAGTACGACTAAGAAGAAGTTTGAATTATTATAGAACTACTTATGGGATAATGGTTGACAATCCGCAGATCAACAAAATGGGATCAAAAGTTTACTTTTAATACCTCAATACCAACCCAAAATGCTTACACCAGTAGAGTATTTATTATGCCAATTCGCACAACAGTTAAAACGATTATAATGAACTTTTAATATCATAAAATTAACGAAATGTATTTATAGAAAAACCTTTTTTTTATTCAAACCAAGATGGTTTCAGACATGGGTTTCTATAAATTAATAAATCATAAAATCTATCTTCAGCAAGGGTCCCAGTATACAACAATACCCAAGAACAAATTATTCATTTTACGTTTTCAAAAAATATAAAAAGAAAACAAAAACCAAAAGGATTATAGCAATAAATTTAAATTATAGAAGTTGAAACGAGTATTTTGAAAATTAACATATTTAGGTAATCTCTGTTTGCGCCTAACAGTTTCGTAATACTTTGAATAAAATTAAATCAAAGATACTTGATATAAAGATGCTTCTGTTTGGATGAAATAAACTTAAATACAACTTTCTATGGCAGAATTATGTGATAACATTTCTCAAAATAATAGAAAACATAATATCTGTTTTTAATTAGAATTATAAAATATTAGATTCTCTAGCTAACATTGTTCTGTCTCATTGCGTCTGACGAGTTCACGTATAAGCCTCACTTGGCATTTTTAAATATTCTTTGTCCATGTGACATGTGATAAAGGATCTGAAACTTGCGCAGTAATCACTGTAATTATCACGCTTTTTGAAACACAGGTAATTATGGAGAACGCAGCAAAGTACGCTTAAAAATACACGAGTCACGAGTAGTTCGTTTCAGTGTTTTAAAAAGTTTCAATATTTCTTTGTAAAGTTCTAAATGAAAAATAATTGCTTTAGTAGAAAACCATTTATAAATACAACAAAATTTTAATAAAGTGCGATACGAACATTCTTGTTGTTTGCTTCGCAGAGCAGGTAAACAGGAAATGACGAGAAGTTTCATACTTTGCTTTCCGCCTCTTTGAACATGCCACCATATTGATATTTATTTTGAGTTATATAATATTTTTCATTATGATAAATATATAGAGGTACAGTGGTAACGCGCTTGCTTGGAAATTATACTTATCTTAATAACACGCTGACTTGCTCTTTATCTTAATCTGGTACAATTGTAACTTTAGCCCTTATTTTAAAAACATCCAACTCGTATTTCACGGATTTTCATACATACTATCCGTACTAATATTATAAATGTGAAAGTTTGAAAGTGTGGATATATGGATGTTTGTTACTCTTTCACGCAAAAAGTACTGTATTGATTTTAATGAAACTTTACAATAATATAGCTCATACTTCAGAATAACACAGGCTACTTTTTATCCCGGAAAAATGTACGGTTCCCGTGGGATAGATTTGTTTTATGTTTTTCTAGAGGCGAACCCGAGCGATGCGAGGGTGAGCCGCTAGTAATCTTAATATTTTTCTTACGATAACGATTCTATCGTACACTCACCAAACTCATAGGCTTACATTATGCTCACACTATGCTATTTTAGTATTACATCATATTATAAGCAATTTCCATACTTTGATTATTTCAATTTATTTGTATCAAAAAATCAACGTTATGTCTAAGAGTCACGTTTCATCTAAATATTCCTTTTCGCAATAGCACAGAGCGATATAGCTCCTGTAAGTGCAATGTCACTGATAGCAATTGCGTAAAAGGCAGAACACGTATGTACATTTCAACTAACAGCTACGAATACCTACAGAGGCTTTTAAGGAGAATAGCCAGACGTTACACCAATACACTCTTTCTTTTGTATAGGTATACTGTTAGGTATCAAAGTCTATCATTTATCTATATTTTTTGTAAAAAATTGTATGTATTCACTATTTTGGAAACTTTTATATTCCTACAATAATCTATATTAATATATGAAACTAAAGACTTTATTCGTTTGTCTAAACGTTTACAGAGTTAAAACAAACTTTCAGTCGAATTAAAAAAAGTTTGTTTTGCATTTTACATCCTATTTAAAAAAAGCTGCACGCTACGACTTTAAAAAGCTTTACACCCCTCGTTTTATGGAGATTTTAAAATGGAGTAAAAACAAACTTATTTTTTTAACCTAATAATAAAAAAAATAGTATAAAATAGAAAATGTGTAACAGTATTTTACTTCTTACCTCAATACCGCTTTTGGGTTGCGTATCTCTGACAGTTAATAAATTAGTAGGCGGTCGGTTTGGTGCTACACTGGCCACTACTGATATCGAGGCCCCCACAGTGTCCTGCGGCTTCACACCGGAATCTCGTAGCAAGCACAGAACATAAGTCGCGCTGTATTTCAGATTCCAATTTTCGCGTATTGGCTGAAAAAGAACAAAACACCGTTTGAAAGATACTCGCATTGATGTAATAAAATGAGATGTGTCGTTTATTCATTTAAGGGTTAACAAGAAGAAATAAATTTCAAAATATCATAGCTTATAAATATTAATTATAGAACAGGACATAAACTTTTAATAATAGGTCATTTATCAAAGCATACAATATCGCTAAATTTTCAAGACAAGTTTAAAAATAGTAAAGTTTGAAATAATACAAATAAATTAATTTAAAAAAAAAACTTAAATCCATATAAATTGGAAAAATTGTAAAGATGGAAAAGGAATAAATGAGGAACTAAAATTACCAATAACATGTTTAAATAATTAAATACTAGAATAATAATAATAAAAATAGAATACCTAGTAATCTTTGTATATTTTAATTTTAATACAGGTAATAAAGTTTATATTAATCTGTGTAATTTTACAAAAGATTGAGCAAAGCTCGTATGTGTTAGAGGCGTAATCCGATTTGTGTGTTCAATCCTATTAAGCCGATAAAGGAGTTCCAGCTTCCTTGAAATCATATTATAATATGCTTGCATAAAACAAGTAGCAAAACTTGTAATTACTAACTATTGAGTGCATTTTCGGTTGCAAATCCTGAGTTCCTGCGTCGAGTCTCGAGTCAGGCTAAGTACAGTTCCCCCCCAACGTGCGTTCACCTTGTCATGGTGCGGGGGCTTAATATCGTCCGGCGGTTCAGCCGGGCTCGAAGCCAAGAAATGCACATGCCCACTTCAGTGGGCAGTGTATCATGCGGGTTGCTCCTGGTACTGCTCTGATAGCAGAGTGGACTGTTGGATCAACCCCATGGTTATTGTGGTCTATTTCAGCAAACCTGCCGTCGGGGTGTCGTGGTTGAGTGCGCAAGCGATCCTACGACGTTCCATTAAGCGGCTTTTCTAGCCGGCGAGTCGGCCACATAACCACCTGTAGGTATTGTCTACGGGTAGTATGTGTTAATGCATTTCCCAACATTTAACAATGAAAGAAATAAGAATGCACTAACTATCCTCGCGTATATATTTTTGCACTATAATATCTTTCGCGCAAGTGACTCTCAGTGACCAAGATTGGTTGGAGGGGGTATTTAGTAAATTTTACATTTAATTACTGTTAGAACTGAGCACTTTATATCAGAACTTAGTTCCCCAAAGAGGCCCTTAAAAGAGCTTTTGAAGTACCAATAAAGTTCACGGCTCGATAACTGAGTGAAGTGTTGAACTCATACCAAATAAAACTACTCTGAATGATTTCGCATAGAATATTGAAAAATATATTAAAATATGTGTTACTTTACGTACGTCAACTTAATATAACAAAAGTATAGAATGTACCAGAATATGCATCTAAAGTGCACGTTAGCTCTGTATTTAAAATTCCTTTAGTGATATATTCCTTGCTTTTATGAAATTGAACTCGTTGCCCCGTAGCATGTTTAATGAGTGCGCTTTTTAACGTGTTCGCTTAATAAATTGGTATGAATTTATAATTACAGCCCACTAGGAATTGAATTAAAACTCAACCATTTTTCAATTAGTGCCGCTAAGTCATTAAGGGTTTCTTATTTGCAAGTCCCATCTCACTTTACAAACTTAGCGTAAGCTTCTAACTTTAAATGGCTGCTAGTTGGTGCTCAAGAGACTAATAAATAACCATCGATCTAACTTACTCCATGTAATATAATCCATTCAACATAAAATAATAATCTAAAAGAAACTGGTAAATGCGAAAAAAAAAACAAATACCTACATTTATAAAAATATAATATAAATATTAGAGAATTATCGAATATAAAGAAAGATATTAATATTAATAAAAAAACTGTTAGCTACAGTGAACTAAAAAAGCTTACATAAACAAGAACATACTGTTCACAAATGAACGCTTTTTAGATCAATTTGGTTAGCCTTTTTCTCTTACTTAATCACAATTGAGAAATTGAAAATATACTTATTATGTAATAAATCTTTATTAGAAACTAGTAAGTGTTAATAGTATATAGGAAAAGTTGTATAAGAACCTTGACTCTGGCTTTCAAAGTGAGTGTGCGGTTATCCGGCAACCATAATCGACAGAATACAGCGTCGGCACCACGCGTTTTCGTCGCAGCAATAACACGCACCGCCGCTACCGTCCTTTGCTCCATGTACGCCGAATATACGTAAAATCTGAACCTGAAAATTAGTTTTGCGTTAGGAAAACTTGTTAGGTATTATATTTAATAGACAGAAACTTTCATAAATGCATGCCACGACATGCCTGTGTTCTTCATTTTGATTATCCACAATATTGTAAACATTACTAACGATCTACTTCCGGTGTGCTTTGGTCAAATTAACTACTATAATTAATGCGAAAGTTCGTATGTATGTTTGTTTGTCCTTCTTTTTTTAAACGGCTGAATAGATTTGGATGAAATTTAGTATACCGGTGAAGTTTCGAATGCTTTACAGCTATCTTGGTCACGGGATAGACTAAGGTTATAGTAATATAGACGTCACAAAGGCGTTATATACTTGTTACAGGCAATTCTATTTTTTTAGTTTCTTAAAACAATATAGATATATGAAGATCGGCTTTTTTATTCCATATAAAATACCACTTAGAAACAATGTCTATCGCTTCTTCATTACCCATTCTTTTATTCATGTCATGTAAGAGCGTTTTCACGTGACACCTACACAATGTAACACATATATATGTACGCAACAAATTTAGTATACCTGAGTTACTACTATTAGGCGCCTAAGGACGCATCCAAGCGAAACGAGCTTATGTGGCTAGTGACTTATAATCTGCTTAAATCCTGTTAAAAGCTTTACGGCAGAATATGTACGTAAAAGCAGAAAATTGAAACATTGGCTATACCTAGACTAAATGTAAAGTGTTCCAACTTATTAGTTTATTTGGTTTATTAAAACACATATTTCAAGACAATTAAATTAATTTTAACGAATTTCTATTAAGAAAGGTAAAAAATGGTTTAATGTATATGATCCCCATAGCGTAACGTTTTTTGTAGTTCTTTCTATTAGAGTAAAATGATATCAACAATATTTTTACTGATAGGTATATAAATATTTTCTATTTTCATTAGTTATAAATTACTTCGTGGTTTATGGTAAGAATTATACCTACATATATCGTGATTTCGACATCGAGTGTATTTGTTACTATACCCCCCAGGGTCTCAAACTACCTTCTTACCAATGTTCATCTAAATCGATTCAGTAGATCCAGAGATTAGCCCCTACAACGTAACAAACTCACAATTCACAAACTTTACCTCTTTATAATATTAGTATAGATAAATTAATATACTACATAATGATAACATCTAAATAATACTATCAGTAAATTACGTTAAATTTCATTAAAGTTTATAAATGAAATTCCCAACGTCATTTCTAAACACTCTGTATACCTAGAAATAGTGCTACGAACGCTACAAAAGGAAATAGACGAGTACTCATTCAGCTACGAGCTTCGGAAAATGGTTCTGACTTCCGAAAATACTATCCGATGAGAAATGCAAGGAAATGAACATATTACTCGTAGGTTTGTTATATGAATGCAAAATTTTATTTATTCCTAATATTAACTTCAGTCAGTTCTTGTTATTTCCGTTGTATGATAAGTTGCTATGCACGATTAGTCTTTATTTCCACACACCTTTCTTTGAACTATCCCGCATAGAGTTTTGAGTGGTTTTTGACCTTGTTCTTTGCTTTTTATCATTACCATAGCACTACTTGTTACCACATAACATTTAGTGCTGCTATCTAGTGGTTTGTTTTTGCAAAACTGTAGCTAATGACACATATAACCTTGTAGCATTCATAACTAAATAAGTAATAAAATTGTAACATAGAACCTTGTAATAGTGAGCCAACGATATGTACATATATCAAACGTAATATTAAATCAGGCGTATAATATAGGTATACCTTTTAAACCTTTTTACCCAATTAACCCATTTCAATTATTTAATAGATTTATTCACATTATTTAAGCAAATATTAGATCATAAATTATGCTAATATAATATTTCTGTATATTCCATCTAACATTATGTACTTAATTAAGTAAGAAATTGTTGGCGTCAATCCAGTATAATTTGAAGAAATATCTACTCTTTATTCATACGAGTTCTAACGTTAAATAAAAATGTTTTTTTCTTTTTATATAATCCATTAATGTTAGATTTATGTTAATATTCTAAGAAATATTATCTAAATAAATAAATGATAGCTTTAAAGAAACAAAGAGCAGACTTAGATAAAAGGCAATATCTATACATATAATTAAATTGTAACAAAGTCGAATCTGTACATTAAATATTTTCTGGAAAATCTTACTGAAATAGACATTACTATCGATACAGAGGCCGAATCTACAGTTTTTAGAATTTTTGTCTGTCTGTCTGTCTGTTACCGGATCCAGTGGAGGGATTTTGATAAAATTTAGTATGGTGATAGCTGGATATCCGGGTCAACATATAGGATACTTTTTACCGCGGGAAAATGTGTGATTTCTGAGAAAAAATACAAAAACTACAATGTAAGAGTATACTAATATGTAAAACCTAAGAGTTTGGTTTTTGGTCATCTGAACGCGGGCGAAGCCGCGGGCAATGCTAGTAATAAATATAGGGATAGCATTTAAACAACTCAAAGAACACATTCTTAGTAGGTACTCAGTGCTATCATCAACAACGTTTTATTTGATTACTGCGTAAAGATAGGAACATAAATGCACGAGTATTCCCAATGTATTTCCACCGTACTACTTACGAGTACATATATGTATGTATATAAAACAATATAGACAAAATTGTTTGATTATTAATTTATTATCGAACGTTTGATTTTTATCAGTTGTAAAATCACGAATCGCACTAAAACTATTATAAAATTCTACTTAGAAACTAATACGTTTTATATACCGATAATAAATATTTAACCTGTTAACTGCAATTTTTCATTTACACATTTTGTTGTTGGTAAAATCTAACTCGCAATAAGTATATTAGAATGAAATTATAATATTAAAAATCCATCTCACATAAGAAGAGCAGCTGTTACAACAAGAATTTTCGCATATTGTCCCAACCTTTAGGGCTTAATAACTCATAATAACAGTAATTCAACCCCATCAACATCCCACAGGGGAATAAGGCATAGACCACCATGTTGGAAAAATGCAGGTTGGCAAACTTCACGAGTCCATCAAAAACTAGTTAGATTCTCTCAGACATGCAGGTTTACTCACGATATTTTCCTTTACCGTATTACCAAGTCTTAATCATATAAAGTGTTCAACTCGGATTTGAACGCCTTGGTTTTTCTATCCAGCGCGTTTGAAATAGATTAAACTATTTTGGTGTTTATGGAATACAAATAAAGTTAAACTTGGCAGTGTTAAGTAATTTATTCAAAATAAATAAATTTTCGTAAGACCCGTTTATCACTATTGATTTTTTATGGGATCAGAATTAAGAACTATTTTATATGACAACCGATGGCATCCAAAACCATCCAGCCATTTTGACGTGAAGCTTCAAAGGACAGACAAGTTAAAATTTAAAGACGACATTCTTCGTATCTATTTATCGAAATATTACTATCGAGTAATATCAACTATCTTTCAATTAAAATTCAAAACGTGAAGTAAATAAATGTACACTAAGAGATTTTACCTTTTTTTTCATGTATTTGCAATAATAAAACAATATTTTTATAAGAAATAATACATTATTAATCCATTATATGTACGAAAAATTATAAATAGTTAATGCTCAGTGTTAACTACGCATAAATATTTGTAAGCTATTTTGGCACACTCGACCAAATTTCCAAATAAATAAACCATGTACACTCTTGATTAAATGTCTATTTGTTATAGAATGCTTTTGGCATGCATACATACTCGTGCAGAGACTTCTCAACCATTATTTTTATATTAACATTAATAGATTTGAATAATTTTATAATTACAAAAGCTTATTATAAGTTTAAAGTTGTGGTGCTGATGTTAATAAAAACAAACACTTAATCATTACATTTATGAATGAAGTAAATATTTTACCTAGCTCTTATTCGAACCCTTTGATTTCATAAAAATATCCTGATAACGATATCTATAACTATTAAATTTCATAAAAGTTTTATGTATATGTTATATAAGATAGTAAATATTCTGAAAGTTATCAATAAAATCCTTGCTGTTCCTTATATCATGGTAGCATCAATCATATATTTGCTTCTCGATCAGCATCTGTAGACATCAAAGCGTCAGTAACGATAAACCAATAGCAATCTTTTAACATAAGGGAAAAAATGTAATATAAACAATGTTTGAACTGTTCTTCTTAGAAATAGTATTTGAAACGTATTTATCATAACTTACTAAACTAGCTAACTTTCAGAATATAAAGTTTTGTTAAGCGACCAATCTAATTTACGTTAGAAGTAATAATGTTTTTACGTGATAACTGCTATCCACACTGACTACGAAGTTTATACACAAAAATGGTGATACAACCCAGTGAAAATATGTCACAAGTTTAGTGTGAATGCTAAAAGTTTTTGGGTCAAAGTCTCTCCCTCAAGGCTATTTGACGTTTCCAACCCTTCATAAGAACGTCACTAACTGGGTCCTTAATGTTTCGCAGCTATAAGCCGCGTGTGTATTAAAAGTTCAAAAACACACGCCATTTTTCCTACTATGTGCCCTCACACTAAAATACTTACCTTCATTTAACTTTTAAAGTGTTTTTACATAGTTTTTTTTTTTGTATAATAAAGGATTAAATAAATAAATAAATAAATATGTTGGGACATTAACACACAGCGCCATCTAGTTCCATGGTAAGCTACGAGGCTTGTAGTAGGGGAGCCCAAGAGGGGATTTTCTGTAGTTACTCGAGCGCGGCAGTTTAACATAAAAGAGGTTACCTTGCACTCTATTGAGTACTTTCACCACAATATAAGTCTTCTATATAAAGGGGCGCGTCTAGGGAAGCCGATTAAAATATTTAAAAAATGTTTTGATAAGGTAAAAATACTTGAAACCGTCAGATTAAGGTGTGATAGGCTAGTCACATCCTGAAAAGTGTCCAATTTAATAATCTGCCGATTTGCACAAGCCTAAGAGGCAAAAATCATCATAAACT